ATTTCTCCCAAATATTTCTCTATTTCTTCGCCCAGAATCCGGATACCTTCACCTTGTCGCTGATTTCTTATCCTACCCGAAATTTCTCAATCAATTTGTGAAACTATTTAATTGATTCGATTCGATTCTTTACTGGTTGATTTGTTTTTGGCGATGGCATCGTCTTCACCAACTGTGAATAAGATCGAGAGGGCGCACTAGATGTATAGAGAAGGCAAGTACGAGGAAGCGCTGGATTTTTACACCGAAGCGTTTTTTCTGGCCAAGACCAAGCCCAAGCCCCAAAGGGTTGCCCTTCACAGCAATCGTGCCGCGTGTTATCTCAAACTCCAAGATTTCAAGAAGGTCCCCTTTTTTTCCCTGGAAAGTTGAAAATTGAATTCCAATTAATTCATGTATGGAAACTTTACGATTTCAATTAATGGCTTTAAAGAAGGCCTTTTGTTCGACTCTGGAATATACTGGATAAAAAATCAGACTGAGGTTCTCTTAAGTTAGTTATCGGATGCTGGTGCGTTTAGATTGATTTTAGAATTTTAGCTTTAGGTATCTTGGAAGTTGAGCCTTGCAAGTTCTTGAAGCTTATTTGAATAGGGAAAGTTTAGGCCAACTCTTCGTGTTTTTCTTGTTAGAATTCGAAACTACTAGTTTGCAATTTAGAGGCAAAGAGGGCCAAAAAAAAAGAAAAAAAAATAGTGAATTCTTTGGGTTTTCGGTGGATGCTGTTTGGTTATCCAAAAAATTGAAAAATGAGCTATCTTAATCTATACTTATGTAGAAAGGATACAAATGCTTGTGACTTATTGTGAGTAGCACAACTAGAATTCGAACGGAATAAAGTTTGTAATTTATAATGGAATATTGAAGCAAAGAAAATAAAGCCTAGTCCAATTGGATTTAAATTTAAAAAATAAAAAATAAAATTGTAGGATATATTGCTATTTGTAGCAGTTAAGGTGACTATTACAGTATAACATCGTGAAGACTGATGAAGGCCTCATCTTCGTGATGGAACAAAAAATTTAACTCTTACTGAGTGCGCAAGTGAACTACTACTGTCTGTTTTGCAGATTTGTTTATATGTTTAATACTATTTATTGGTTACGTGCCAGCATGGCGTCCAAGAGTACTCGAGAGATGGTTCAATTTGCATTTAATGCATCTTATGAGCATCTTGATACATAAGCTTGAAGCACTTAATGCTACCGGTTTCACATTTATGATCTTGGTGGCAGTGCTCTGATAAACTTTGGACGTGATCATATTTTGGAAATTGTTATCTGTCTTATGATAATGTTGATATTAAGCCACTTGGGATAGTTCTTTGTAGCGTGTATAACTTATGATAACGGCGTAATAAGTGCTTTAAAAATAAGAAAGAACTGATGAGTTTCCTATACTTGGATAAAATTAAAAGAGTTTCGTTTTGCCTTTTACATGTACCATTTCATTGCCTGGGATTACCCCTTTTACAATTTTATTAAATGAATATTGGATTTATTAAGCAGGTCTTCAGTTCACTCCCGCTCTGTTTGGGGGGGGAGGGGGTTGTCTATGTGAATGTGGTAGATTGCTATCAGGATGTTCAAAATAACACTGCATAATAGAATTTGAAATTGAAAAAAGGTTAGGGCATTCCTCATGGTTGCACCTTCAATGAATGACAATAGCTGGTGCACGATTGATTAAAGAATCTTCCATACCACTGCCCCTGAACCATAGAAAAAACTCACATTGTTCTTTTTGTTTCCTTTGCCAACGATAAACTGAACAACTTCAATAAATTTGGGTAGACTACAATAATCTTTTTCCGACTCCACTTGATCCAAAGTTACACATACTTATAGGCTTAAAGAATGTCTCTTACAACCAAATCATTACATGTTATCTCGATATCTCCCTTCTAATATGTTGTACTTTGATTTCGTCGCTCTTGTGAGTATAACTTTGTAGGTCTAATAAGACATGTCCGTACCACTTGAATGTTTATCTCTAGAGCTGTCCTCAGTTGTCATCGGCACCACTTGTTGGTGTATTTCTCATAATACTCATTCTAGTATAGTCCCTCATCCGTTGCAAACTCATATTTTCTTTGTTCTGTTTACTGACATGTTGTACTTTAATGATCCAAAACCCAATGCCTTAAAGCATAGCTAGTCTAACAACAATTGAGTAAAGCTTGACTTTTAACTTGATAAGTATTTCTCAATCACATAAATCATTATATAACCTTTTCATTTTGTATACACCAATCTAGTCTCATGCATTTTGGGTGGTGTTTCTAAATATAGTTTCTTGTCCAATTGCTACTTGCAATTTTTTATGTTCTCACCATCTAAAATTCACTCATTAGTTACATGTCGGCTTACAATCAGGTGCAAAAGAGAAAACGGGAACCTTGACTGACTTGTTATGGGATATATGCTAATGTTAACCTGTTATTCTATCTATTGTTTCAGGCATCGGAAGAGTGTACCTCGGTGCTCGAGCTTGATCACAATCACACAGGAGCATTGATGTTACGTGCCCAAACGCTGGTCACCCTGAAGGAGTACCATTCAGCACTTTTTGATGTCAACAGGCTCATTGAGTTGAACCCATCATCGGAGGTGTATAAAAATCTTCAAGCCATTCTGAAGTCACAATTGGTAGTCACTTCTTTTTCCTTTATTCTGCTTTTGCATTTATTCAACTATTCATCGTCGTTAACTGATATCCTGATTATTCATACTGTTCCCAGTTATGGGAATTGCTGCTTTAAAAGCTTCGCTGCCCCTAAAACTTCAATATATCTTCCATGTTCCCGACCATTGTCAATGCATTAATTGCATTCTAAACAAATATTTGCTTCTGTACTTTGGCATTATCAAGTTTCTTAGAGAACATTTATGATCCTGAAGGCTATCTCCATTTTGTCTCTCTCTAAAATGCAAATGCGAGAACTTTCTGTGCGGAGATTTCTGATAAGTGTGTTTTTACA